CTGCTAAAGAATGTCCCACAGTGCCAGTTGTGCACACAGTGCATATTTCTCTTGGCTATTTTGGTCTCCCTTCAAGCAATGATTTTAGAACTTCTGTTCTCTACCCAAGAGCCAAAACCAAATTTCAGGTACTACTGACAGCACAACAGATGTTATCACCAAAGATCAAAACATGGCAAAAAAGATGCTCCAACTGAACAAACAAATGTTTGCTTATGAGGAAAATAGCCTTCTCCTCAGACAAAAAGCACAAACTTTCAAAAATATCTGGGACACAGCAGGTTTGCCATGTGCAAGACCATCACAAAATAATGGCACTAGTAAGGGAAAAAATTGCCAGCAGGTTTAGTGTCTGTGAAATGACATCTGCCTACTTCTGTCAGAACTCCAATGATTTACACAAATGATGGTCACACCACACTGCTGGTGGGGGTCCACAGATTTTAGTCAGAACTAATAACTCATGCAATCATGAAAATGACACTACAGTGCCACCTTATAGACCCCCAAAACTTCAGTTTGTTTGAGATCCAAAGAAAATACATGATTTCGCCTCCACAATCTACAAACGTCTCATGCACAATTAGATCAATGATAGGTACGTAGCTCATCTGAGCGTCAACGCTGGTACACTCACCGTTCTCCAATTGTTCAAAATGTTGAGCACCGAGGCTCGGATCAGAACAAATTGAATCTCAGCCGATGACTAGATCTTATTACTAATACAGATGAAAATGAGCAGTGACATCAACCTTGCTTACTTTCACCAAACACGCGAGCACTATCAGGCAACCATCCATGTAACTCCGAGATGCAATAGATCCTCCGCGTCTATCCCAGCTTGGACACTGGCTCACAGAAATTGACGAAAGTGGCGCATGTGGACATACGAGACAAAAGCGATGGAAAACAGTGTACACTGGAAAAGACAAGAGGCATGAGCCAGCTAAATACATAAGTCACGAAACACTTTTAAAGGTTGCGGTCATTAGATGTTGTGAGTCCCTTCACTCCTGCTATAAAAGATGTTTACAGGCCCAAATTCTGTCGAAATCACATAATTACTATTAATTCTACTTTACTGCATCTCCAAATACCCGCACTTGGGTAATAATTCGCGATGCACAAATGCACTAATCAAGCGAACGCACGCCTGATTTTCCCTCCCCCGCGAATTCAGACTGGTTCTGCCACCCACTGGTGACTAAAATAATGAGTAGCACGAGCAAATAGCGAGCCGGAAAATCACGTGGAGGAAACATTTCACCTACTCTAGCTAAACTTAACGATTTTTACAATAGCCTCTTTTAACCACACAAAGCATATACATGATAATCACCACCACCTTCTGTGTCCTACCCGGAGCGATAACAGATTATTGGGCTGAGAAAGTTCTAACAAGCCCATCCTATTTTTTCATTGGCCTTCCTCGCCGCAGTCTCGCTCCATGCCCCTCGTGTGGTTGTGACTTGTCATGATCACTCACCATGTGTTCCCTTCCACACGTCGACCAGCGCAGCCGAATTACGAGAACTCCAGCGCCTGACAGAGATCGTCGTGGAGGCGACCGATATGGCTTCCAATGGCACTCGATAACATTTCCCACCGCATACTTAGAGGCATAGAGACATGATCTGCAAAATATATTGTTATTTCCCCGGACTGAAAGCAAAACTATTCTCCCAAGGAACAGTTTACGATCTTAATAAATAACAAATTAAATAGGTCAGCTCTTTTCGTGATGCATTCGGCTGCAAGTCGCTTTGGGTATTCCACACATTTGTTGCCACATTCAGCCAACTTTCTCCGATGATGCAATGGTTACGCCGTGTAAACAATTCCTTTTCCACTAGTTACGCTATGTTAAACGTAACGTCACCAAGTGGTAACGTAGCCATAAACACATTTTAGAGACTTTGAGAACGGCTTGCAGCCACACCTCAGCGTAACGCCGAGCTGTTTCCCTCTCGCTTACTACGCGGTGGTTATGCTCCACCAACGCCTTTCCCTCTTTGCGTGACGTAATTTGTGGACGGCCCATTCATTGCCTCGTACTCGCCTTTCATGCGGCCGATGCCGAGGCCCAAACTTCGTAAAATGATCACGGTGTTAAGAAAAACCTCTTAAAAAACAAAAGCTGCTGAAGAGACCAGGAGATAATCCTGCGACTGGCTATACACGTGCACATTTCGCAGCACGCCCCATCCGTCTGCGCACAGATAAGGCATGGAGCAGCGCCCAAACAAAACAAATGACGGAGCCGCATCGGGTTAGTTACGATCGCTCAACTCGCCTACCTGGATAACTTGACCTAGAGCCAACGTGCCGAGCCTGCTGCGGCTGCTGAGCGTAAGGCCATCACGAGCAGCGGAATCCGCGGAATCGCAGCAGGGTCTGGTCAGGGGACCCGTCCAGAAATCGCGACCGCGACCGGCGTCTCTGTGCGGGCCGCGGCTGGGATGGAGCGGGAGGCCGGGACCCGTCCGAAACCCGTGGTGGCAGGACTTCAGGCTGTCATTGCACACCATGTGTACACCATGCTTGCTCCTGTCAGACATTACCAGCCGGATCCGATGCACGTGGAACATTCAGTCTCCAGCGCCGCACTTCTCAGACGGGTGCATGTGGCGGTCTCACGTAGGTGCCGGGCTTCTTTTCACGCCTTTATTTTGTTACGGTTTCTGCGGTCACACCACGTCTAGGTAACAGGGTGGTGACGGCTGGTATGACAATGTAACTGAGACTGGTGAAATATTCTTCAGTGTTGTTAACAGGGGCTCAAAATATACAATTTTCCAACCATGCAGGGTCGTGAAAATGATGACGAGAAGAGCTGTTGAATTCTGGTGTTAAGCTCGTTTGAAGTGGCCCTCATATTCATTTCAGTGCCATTCATAATGATATTCCATGGATTCGGAATGCTTTTTAACCTTTAGAGAAATGAAATATCGTCTGGTATGACAACCTAACTGACAACATTCCCGCTGCCGGTTATTTTGCTTAGCTGGAAGCCTGGCAAGCTGAAATGCCTTTGTAAAGTTTACAATATCTGGTGCTAAAAGTGCAACATCATATACAAGTAGGTCGAGGAATGCTGTACCTGACAATACGGACGGTTGTGCCACTTGACTGAATTAATAACACTCAACGGGTGGGTTAGACAGCTGTTCAAGAAGAACAAAGCGGAGAACCTGATGAAGAAAGAATCTCAAGAAACCTCATGAGTGCAGCCGGTCGTCACCACCTTACGCCTTTTGTCAAGGGCATCGGCCGGAAGTCAGGATCAGCCCTTGTAGAGAGTCAGAGAAAATGTACTGAGTGAAAATAGGATAACTCAAAATGATGCATCAGTCGTGACC